ATCTTACCAAGTAAAATTTTCTTACTCAGAAATTTTGATTTAATTAGAGTCAAATTTTCAGACTAACAAGACAAATAATCTTACACATTCTGAAAACAATATGATTATTCTTACACAATCAGTTCTTGTTTAGTAAATCAGTCTCAAAACAAGATCAAAAAGTCTTTTTGGCTGATATAAGATTTTAAAACTTGGTAAGATGGACAGTTTTTGCAGTGAGCTTGTTTATTCTGGACCATAAAATGGACTTTGTTTCCTTTGGTGCAGTTTGTATTCACATTGTGCTTTTTGCAAGTGGACTATAATTTATAAACAAAGCCACGAAGGTGACGGTCACTGCTCCCATTGGACAGAAAGGACGGGGGCGGGACAGAGACCAGGAAACAGTGATGGTTCTGTCAGTACCACTGAGTATTAATATGAAGAGCAGCTCATTCAGGACTGGTTTTGCGATGATAAACGTATAATTTTGGGTCAGCGTTGTTAAATGTGTGCTGCAACCTAAAGGAGAGGAGATGCTCCATGATCCCTGACCCACAGCAGCTCATTGTTTGCAGCGCAGTGTTAGCATTAACACTGAAGGGTTAATGTTGTTTAGCTACGGTGGCTCATGAAGTCCAAAAAGATGCATGTTTCCTGTAGGTTCAGTCCCAGGCCGGTCTGTATTCACACCAGGAGAGAACCGCACCAGAGTTGGTTTGGAAACAGACCAAGACCCATTTCTGATGTCGTCTCGGTCCGGTTGTTTGATCCACACCAGGGTTCACATGAGTGTATTCACACCTGCCTAAAGAGTCCGAACCAATGAGGGAAACAAATTCTGGTCCATTTAAAAGTGCACCAAATGTGTCAGGTGTGAATACGACCTAAAACTACCCACATCTGGACTCATGACATCAGCCAAACAACCCAAAGTGCAGCAACTATTACTGGTTTTCAAGTTCAAGTTTATTAGTTAGAGAAAACTACATTGGAGAGACAGTGGCAAGAGCTCATATCCTCAACATGCACACATAGACAAATTAAAAGATCAAAAAAAAATTTAACACTGAACACAGAACCGCTCATCTGCAACAGACTATAAGTTCACAGAACACACTCCACATTCCATTTCATTTAACTGTGAGAAAGTTAATGTGCGTTGTTCAAAACCCTCTGAGCCCGTGGAAAAAAATGATGAGACGTCGTACGTTTGATGGAACGGTACCGTCTCCTCGAGGGAAGGAGCTCAGACACATCCTTAGCAGGATGAGTTGGATCATCAATAATAGGAAAATACTTAGAAAAGAAGTCTGCTTTTAAAAATGTCCTCCAAGGCTGGAGCTGGAGGCTTTTGTCACTGGTTTTGTGAGACTGATGTCTTTAGAGCAGAAAAGCTTTTTTTTTCTTTATTTTATTGTGTTTTTAATCATGTCAAAAACTCCCTCATTATGTAAATACATCATACATGTTGCTGCTGTCCTACATGTTTTATAATACACTGTCAGTTGAAGCATATTCAATTTCATTATACAGTTTTATTCTATTCTATTCTATTCTATTCTATTCTATTCTGTTCTGTTCTGTTCCAAGCTTGAGGCTAGATGTGATAAATGAACCATAAGTGAGCATAAGGATGACTCTGTCCATCTGTTATACCCTGAAAATGGGAAAAATTTACTTTTCTCTTTTTTTTTTACATTTAATTTTAGTTGTTTTTTTAGAAAAGAAAACAGGGAAGAAGTCTGGAAACAGTTACTTGAAAAATGCTAAAATCAAATTTCAGACCTTTCACACCTGATGAAATTATTGAGAGTAAAAAGAATTATTCTGAGTAATAATAAACCTTAAATATATATTTTAAAAGCACCATCAACTAATGTGTGAAGCTAACATTTTAATTCTCTGTATAATAAAGACTAATACTAATTAATGAAAGTCATAAATCTTCAGAGAAAATGAACCTGTTAAATTATTATGTGAAAGGTTTTTTTTGACAGAACGTGTTTGTTTTTGCTTTCTGTTTCCACAGCAGCCCACAGAATATTTCGACATGGGCATCTTCCTGGCTTTCTTTGTTGTTGTGTCGCTGGTGTGTCTAATCCTGCTCATCAAGATCAAACTAAAGCAGAGGAGAAGCCAGGTTAGTGTGTCAGCACACACTCATCCTACACGCCGTCGCAGTTTTCTTTAATCGCTCCTCGTTGAGTCACCCAGAACCAAAAGTACGAGCCCTTCTTACACAAACACACCCTAAGCTAACGCACCGCACCACTTTGTTTTCCTCAGTCTGTAAGACGTTCAGCTGGAGTCGAGTCGGGCCGCGGTGGCTCTGCTGCTGATTGATTCCTCTTGCGTGTTGACAAACAGCTCTCAGTGGAGGCTTATGTCGGGCACTTGAATCAGGATTAGCATTTAATTAACACTGATGAGGAGCTGGCTGACGGAGCCAAAAGCACGGCGATGTCACGACAGAGCAGAAAACCTGCCGTGGCATCCGTTAAAACCGGTGTAATCCTGCAAAAACACAGGAGTGTCTGCACTTCTCTTATTATACTTGTCGTCTCTGTGTGCGCAAAAGCATTCCTTATGTAACAGTTTCTAACCAAAATGTGAAAAATGAACACTTGGGAGGTAAATAATTAGCAAACAATAGCTGCATTTCCATTGTCCATGAAAATGCGCAAATTAGAATTTCAAAAATAAATTTGCCCAATGGAAACACGTCAGTTTAGAAAAAAATTACGTTTTTCGACAAAATGTTTTTGCGCTAGGATGAGGTGGTTTTTCAGCCGTATCGAAATTGGTGTTTTTCGCAAAACTGCAAAGGAAACACATTTTTCGCATCATGGGAGTCACGTGATCAACAACCGGCTGTTTCTACTGGCGAAAAAAGATGACGACAAAGAAGACAACAGGAAGTAGAAATAGTAGTAATATCACAAACGTTGTAAAATAAAGTAGTAAACTCGCCGACTACATGTTCCCAAAAACACAGCATACGTAGCCGCTCCCAAGTAGGGACTTGTCTCTGGAAAGCCTCGATAAAAGACGCCGATGTCTCCTCTGATGATGAGCGCTAGTGTCATGGTAGCAACATGCTATGTGTTTACATCCATCGCCGCCATGTTTGTAATGACTTATCGCGAGAACAAACGTATTCACGCGTAACTTTAATAGCATTTCTTACTTAATGGAAACACCGCAGTTGCAAAACTGTTTTTTTTTTACGTTAACAGAATATCGACAGAAAAAAAAAGAAGAAAAAAAAAGAAAAAAGAATGAAAAAAATAACTACAAAAAATACAGAATATCGACAAAGTTTTGCGCACATTTGCAATGGAAGCACAGCTACAAACTACAAATTCCTCCTTTTGCTGTTGAAAAAATTAAAGCACATGTCCTTCAAATACAATATGTCAAAGAAAACATTTATATTTCAGAAACTTTACACAGTGCACGTGATTTTTACCCATTTGGTCACATAACCGGCATAATTTCCTTTGAATTTGACTCAAAAAAGTGAAACAGGAAGTGACATCAAAGGGGATCTCTTAAAGAAAAGGAACTCCCCGGTCTTTGTTATTGGAAACAATTTTATTTGAACTTTCATTTCTCTGAAAATAACTTAAAATAATCTAAAGAAACATCAGGTTTTTTTCTACAGTCTGTGTTAGCCATTGTAGCAATGCTTTCCCCATTCCCCTTTGACATCACTTCCTGTGTCTTCGCACGCAAACATCTCAGCAACGGTTCATCTCAGCAACGTGAAATTTATTTTGCAATACGTTATTAATGTTCTCTTTCCAAAAGTGCATTCATATTTATAACAAAAAATTGATGTCACCGGCACTTTAAAGCTTCATCCTGATCATGCTATTATAAACTGAAAATAAACTGGTTTGTCAACCTTCGCCCCCAAAGTTCTCGTGTCGATCAGAGTATCGCCTTGATCTGAAATTATCTGCAATTATCTCCGCGTGATTGAGCATAACAGGAAGAAACAGTCTCTGCTGTGGTTTAGTTAAGCCTTGGCAAAAATAATTGTCACGTGAGGAGTCACTGTCAGAATAATCACCAACGGCTGTAACTCACAATTACACACAACACTTAAAAAAAGAAAAC